GGTAGCCATTGTTGAAGATTGAGTGTTCTGGTTGGTAGCCAATGTTGAAGATTGAGTGACTGGGTTGGGAGCCATTGTTGGAAATTGAGTGTCCTGGTCGGTAGCCAATGTTGAAGATTGAGTGTTCTGGTTGGTAGCCAATGTTGAAGATTGAGTGTCCTAGTTGGTAGCCAATGTTGAAGATTAAGTGACCTGGTTGGTAGCCAATGTTGAAGATTGAGTGTCCTGGTTGGTAGCCAATGTTGAAGATTGAGTGACTGGGTTGGTAGCCATTGTTGAAGATTGAGTGTCCTGGTCGGTAGCCAATGTTGAAGATTGAGTGTTCTGGTTGGTAGCCAATGTTGAAGATTAAGTGACCTGGTTGGTAGCCAATGTTGAAGATTGAGTGTCCTGGTTGGTAGCCAATGTTGAAGATTGAGTGTTCTGGTTGGTAGCCAACAATGTTGAAGATTGAGTGTCCTGGTTGGTAGCCAATGTTGAAGATTGAGTGACTGGGTTGGTAGCCAATGTTGAAGATTGAGTGACTGGGTTGGTAGCCAATGTTGAAGATTGAGTGACTGGGTTGGGAGCCATTGTTGGAGATTGAGTGTTCTGGTTGGTAGCCAATGTTGAAGATTGAGTGTCCTAGTTGGTAGCCAATGTTGAAGATTAAGTGACCTGGTTGGTAGCCAATGTTGAAAATTGAGTGTTCCGGCTGGTAGCCAATGTTAAAGATTAAGTGACCTGTTTGGTAGCCAATGTTGAAAATTGAGTGTTCTGGCTGGTAGCCAATGTTGAAGATTAAGTGACCTGGTTGGTAGCCAATGTTGAAAATTGAGTGTTCTGGTTGGTGGGGAATGTTGAGAATTGAGTGACCTGGTTGGTAGCCAATGTTGAGGATTGAGTGTTCTGGTTGGTAACCAATGTTGAAGATTGAGTGTTCTGGTTGGTAACCAATGTTGAAGATTGAGTGTTCTGGCTGGTAGCCAATGTTGAAGATTAAGTGACCTGGTTGGTAGCCAATGTTGAAAATTGAGTGTTCTGGTTGGTGGGGAATGTTGAGAATTGAGTGACCTGGTTGGTAGCCAATGTTGAGGATTGAGTGTTCTGGTTGGTAACCAATGTTGAAGATTGAGTGTTCTGGTTGGTAGCCAACAATGTTGAAGATTGAGTGTTCTGGTTGGTAGCCAATGTTGAAGATTGAGTGACTGGGTTGGTAGCCATTGTTGAAAATTGAGTGTTCTGGTTGGTGGGAAATGTTGAATAGTGAGTGGCTTAGGGGCAGCTGATTAAAAGTTTAAAAGTTACTTTCTGTTATCATTTAACAATTGTTTTATGTTGGAAAGAGTTGTAAAATCATCCACTATCAGTAAAGAACGCTGCGCTTGTTGCTTTACAAACACTGCTATGATATCTCTGATTTTATGTCAACAAGGGGGTTAATTTGTCGATCATTAGTCTACATTCATTCTATTCTCGGGGTGGATCCATGTCACAGACAGTTCTATGTTGCCATGTATTTCTATGGGCTTTCGGCGAGCAGCTGTGGAACGCCGATGAAAACAGCTAAAGTCGAAAAAACAGCAGAAACTCAACTATGAAGTATTCCTGAGCAACACAATTTATATATGTAGTTAATAAATAAACGATGCTCGCTCTGATAAATATGATATATAGTAGATAATATCTGGTAATCATTGTCCTAAATAACTATTAAAAATAGCTAGAGGTTTCGAGCAATGGCACTTATATTCTTCATGGTTCTTATGTTCTACCTATACATTTATACATTTACTTCTATACCATCATTAAAGTGCCATTGCTCCAAACGTTAAGCTATTTTAATACTTAGGACAACGATTACCAAATATTATCAACTCAAATTTATATATATGTACGAGTACTATTGTTACACTGTTCTGGATAATCTCAACTAGTCCAAAGCACAGTTTTGAAAGTTTTCATTCACTGTTTACACCAGTTGTGTTTGCCAGGCGGTGAAAATATCCGGATGTTTGCTGCCGCGAATATTCACCATTCATACATTACTAAAGACATTACAATACGCATTCATATTAAAATGAATGATGTAAAATGTACAACAAAAAAAAACTAATTCCATATTTAAATTGAAAACAGGATTTGACTTTTATGAGTTACGTGTACTTGAAAACAATATTATTGCGACATTATATGATATCGACATCATTATAATAAATTAACTTCAATGCACATATTACATTCATTGAAAAATAAAAACTTATAGTTGTTTAGATTCACTTGCATTGAGCATTGCATCTGTGTACGACCGTCTTGTACTGGCCGTGTGTTCAATGGAATCATATGGTTAGGATATTGGTAAAAACGTTCATATATTAAGTTCAATAAACATTTGACAAGCGATTTTCGAAAATAGTTCGTAATTAAATTTTCCGTCTTTATATTATCTATGTCGTGTTATTTTCACATTTGTAAAACTAGCTAAATCATCGTAACTGTGCCATTGTATTGAGAAACTATGAAAACTAAAAATATTGAAAATAATTTGATTAGTTATAAAAGTCATTTTGTATCTTATATGACATTTCTGTTGCCATCAAGTATTACGCAACATTATAAAATAAAAACTGTCGCAGTGTGTTTTTCATATACAAGCGAGTGAGTATTAGCCGCTGTTGACATTCACATGATGAATGTCTAATCTGGTGGACTTTGTCATTAAATTATACAATTAATAATGCTTAACGTTAACATCACGCAAGTTAATATCACACATGAGTACCCCTGATTTTACTGTAATGCTGTTACATTGTCCACATTGAATACATAAGTGTGGTGGGTTGGTTATTGCCAAGGTGACGAAGTATGTCGCCATTTACTGCGTCATTCGCCGTTTACGTTTGTTAATTCATGGACCTATAAAAACAAACAGAACATTATGAACTTAAAATACACTGTGTGCACGTTGTGTTGTTATACTATATGTAAATGAGGCGGGTATATGAATAACAACACACGTTATGCAGATGATACATCATTAATAGCAAGATGTTAAATTTGGTAACACTAGCTAGGAATATTGTCAATGGATACCATGAACGGAAAAGCAAGGTTAATGACACACTAACAAGTATATTGGAAATATGAGTAGATTACATTATATTATATGTATATTTATGATTGATTATAACAGATCAAGTGATCAGGAAGGAGATGGGTAGATTACCAAGAAAAGTTTACATTCAGTTAAAATACAATAAATTCAAAATTAGACCGAGTAAATATTATTTTTGGCATATCCTATAAATGTTTGGTTTGGAGAAATACATGGAACGAAGTTTTAGAAAACTATATATGTATAAAATGGTTCGAAAATGACATCATTACTTTAGACGTCTCTTAAAATATTTGTCCAGGCTGCTAACATAAGCATTGCTGATTTGGATTTGGACAAATATTGCGGAAGCTAAAAATAGCATCAACACTTTTGGGCTTAGACAGGTAAATAAACAACCCCAAACCTTTATAAAGTACTAACATAACCTTGATAACAATGACTAAGACTAAAATAAATTACATTGCTGATTTCATTTTGATGACTTACCGTCGTTCACTGTTATTGAATCTGGGTACTTTTTAGATTTACTCTCTGTTACGTCATCATTGATTCCATCTAGTGCTATATTGTCAATTCCCATGTTAATATTAGTGTTTGTAAAATCATCGATATTTTGCTTGGCATGCAATGTGGCTTTGTTCACTTTTGGACCTGTTAGAAATACAGCGTGATGCATCGATTAACATGTGGGAAGTTTACACGATATAACCATGAGTCAGTTCATTGTACACGCATGTCAATCAGTTTGGTGTACATACCGACATATTTTGACAGATGTTCGTCGGGCAGTTGTTCAGACTAATATGTAAATCAATCAATCGTTCAACATGTAAAGTAGCTTGTATTCATTTACGTAAATACGTTGGTTGTTAACACGTGAAGGGCAGTTTATTGTTCATACGTGACCGTCAAATATATTAATTGCTTTCACATATTATTAAGCCCTTCACAGTACATTCAGGTAAAATAGTGCATTGTTCACAATGTTTGCCATAATACAACTACGTCGACTAGCCATGGCTATTGACTTACCCAAGTATATGAGAAGTACTGGTTGGAATATGATGCCATGTGCGCATCCAAGAATCGTGATCAATAGGAACATTCGGAAGTAGAACACTTCAAACAACTGGGAGTTAGCAAATGCCAATGGAATAATACCCGCTAAATTGGTGAACGCAACACCACTCAGAATCTAGAAAAAAAAACCGATCATATATATTGTCAAAAAGACGTTGTCAATTTACAATATAATATGCTTCAACACAATAAATGTTAGGTGTTGTTAAATACATTATAATATCATAGCCCCACAGAAACTGATTGTGTACGAGACATAGAACCATCATACATATAAAGGCAGATTCAATCTTACCGAACTGCCCATATGCGCCAGTGCAGCCTCTGCCCTCTTAACTCTAGTCTTTTCCGTACACTGTGCGAAATACCGAGTGACATGTGATATGAATTCCACAGAAATACCAATAGCCTGTATGAAATAAATATTGTGAACAAAATTAGCATTTATTGTCAGGTTTTGAGACGCACTTGAACAATACAAATACATACTTCAAACCAGTATTAATATCCAAGAATATATATAAATATGTTTCTAAATAACAAAATCCATTTATCTGATGGTAATTTCATTAGGGTGTTTGTTTGCAGACTCACCAGAACGAGGTTTACCAACGATACGGCATTGAGATCGATGTCCCATAGATACATACACCCTAACATATCTACAATTATCATAGTGATAGTCAGAATTATGCAGATGGAAGAGAGCAGATCAAATCCAAGCAGAAGAAAACTGACAAAGAAAACGGCCAATAAGGCTATTGTCAATTGGTAGACGGTGTCTTCAACCATTGTCAAGTACTGCTCGTAATAGATGTAAGGAACGCTGAAACGAAATTATATGAAATTATTTCAGATTATGTTATATTGTGACTATCCTATACACTAATAATTACATCACCGTTCACCTTACTTGATAGACATTCGTATGATTTTTGTATCTAAGTTCAATGTTTCATTTCTTAAATGTTTAAAACAAGTTTTTTCCCCAAACCCTTCTCCAAAACACACTCATATACGGTTAAATATATAAGTTGATTACAAACCTGTAGGGGAAGACATAGTAATCACCGCCATCGGCATTCAAAGACAATGTGATGTTGTCGGCTATGTATCGTGCTTTAGCTAAACCATTCGTTTGCTCCTGTGACGTCACATGTACCGTGTGATACGTCATAAAGTTGGTAGCTACAAATAACAATTATATTGATGTTTAATTTGAAATCATAAAAACAGTCCACCCTACCTTTGGTCATCGATATATAATATAATATTAGCCACCAATCTAATTGGTCACAATTGAACAACCTATCTATTATATAAAATTGAGATATAACGTGCATAACCTACCCCAGTATGCAGTGTTATTTTCTATCATTTCAACAGAAGCGGAATAAGCTGCTTTTCCTCTGTAAATAATTGATATGAGTAAAGAAAGCATTTAAAGATGATCCCTCATTCGTACATTACCAGATACATGAGAGAATCATCTGGTGTTAATTGTAAATGTAAATTAATTATTTGTAGAAAAATACGTATTTTCATCTGATTAAACATGTACAGGTGACTATTTATAATATGCAGTAAAATAAAAAATAAAAACATGTTCATATCCAGGAGTCAATCAACTAACCCTTTCTGACAGTATACTGTCGGCAAATCATCAAGAAACCATGGCATGTAGTCTTCAAACTGTTTTATAGTTGGTCTTTCTCCACTTTGCTCCAAGTCAAGACAAGGCACGCAGTTTATAGTGAGGAGTTGGTCTGGGATTGGAGACGGTAGTTCAATGTCAGGCAAGAAGCTCGGTCGCGGAATCGGCGGTGGGAACCATATGGGAAGATCAGGAAGTTCTAAGCCAGGATCTGCAAAACCGTAGTAATAACACAATATTAAATCATGTATTTTATGTGCTAATCTGCTAACGGTGAATCATTGCTACCAAATTACGTAACCATATTGGGGCTTTAAAAACGTTGAGAGGATTTGGGGAATATACTCAAATGATAAATGCTACACTAATATGCTCTATATAGCTTGAAGGGGTGTACATTACAAGCGACATGACACTCCCAATTTCTTCAATGTCGTCTATAAATATCATTATCAGTGTTGACAATGAATGATCAATATTTGGTGTGAATAACTGAGTTCTTTACATTTAATGTCGCTGGTGCATAGTCAAATATTCAGAGTCATTTGGGGGCATTTTAGAAACCACCGGACAATTTTGTATCATCGGCAAACAGTTCTACAGTACTGCTGATTCTTTCAAGCATGTTATTCAAGGAATACACTTCTTCCAGCAAAACAACTAACCACGTCTGTCCACGAAGAAGTCAACACTGTTTACATACAGTTAAATTGTATGAATAAAATACTACATGATTTGAAATTATTATTATTATTATAATATCACTCAAGTTATCACTGGTATATCACTTTGAGGTGATTTGCAACACATTTGTAAACAATCGTGATTCACTTACCATCAGAACGACAAAATTCGTCTTCATTAAACCGATACTTTCGACAACATGGTCTGAACACAGTGAGTGTTGGCTGTAACCAATCCAGATAGTCATCTATCCAAGACATGGCGGGCATAGCAATTGTGGTACTGTAATAAAAAAACTCATGTGAACAACCGTCCCGCAGAAATATTTTCCGCGCTCCCCGAGTTGAGCTAATTTGTTTAGTTTGTTATATATCCAGTTCGGAGAGTGCATACCTATTTCTATCTGTGAAAAAAAGCACTTCTTGAATAAATTAGTTTTGTTTCTCTTTTATTTTCCTTGTTAACCATTACAAATACTGATGTGCTTAAATAACTGCCAAAGTTGGCTTTTACACTTTTCTCTACCGAATATTCAAATTGATATAGTATGTCACATGGTATTAATCATCCAATCACTCCAATCTCCCACCGATTATTGTAATAACCATGGGCAATGATGCGATTAGTTGGCATGACAACAAAAGGTGACATATTGGAGCGCTCAGAAGTAGTATGCACTGGGGGCCGTTGTGTTCAATCGTCAAAACAAACACACTTTTAATTGTTTTATTAACTCACTTGAGAAGATACTTTTAAATTTGGTTTTAGGATGCTTTTAGAACACCACAAAATCCATAGACTGTATGATGCTTATAGTCAAACAAGGTGGTAATGCGACATTTGATCAACTAAGTCAACTATGAATGGTTTGGGTGTGGTTTCAATGGTTACATGTATCATGTGTATATTTAATTTAACGTACAACTCGGGGTCCTTTGAGGCATAGTATATCTGCTGTGTCAGCGAATCTTCGAAGCACCCAGCGCCACCACATATTCTATTCTGTCCTTCAATCGTCGAGTAGTTGTAGCCACCTGCCACGACGAAGTATACAGGTGTACCAACCATTAAATACTGGGCTAAATCTTCGTAGAAATCAATTACGTAAGAATCCTAGAAGCAAACCAATTGAGGTTAGTACGTTATTGTTGATGTAGTTAATACAGGATCAACTTCTTAATATAATTGGTGCAGTGCAATGAGGATTTAATTTATGTGATAATGTATTTTTCATTGATTTAACTATACTTCGAACACCTCGATTCATGATTAATTCTCACACCCCTATGCTTTTAACGTGTTTTTAGTTTGTGCTTTCACTATTATACTCTAATCGCTGTTAATGTAAGTAATATCTGATTGCCGTAATCATGTATGAGATGGGATCGGCTTTTAGCATCAGCGCCTTTCCCAAGTTTGGCCACACTCCCAGTAGTAGTGACACATGCAATGTGTGGTATATAATGTTTTAGTTTATATATTATTGACAAATTATCAACAACCGGGATTTCGCACACAATGGCCAAACGTTTATCTGCTGGAGACTGTTGTATGAGAATTTATTTTAGGCAGATAGTATTATGGTATAATCCCAAATAATTGTAAAAACTCACCCGTGGCATCGATAATGACGCGTCTAATCCAATGGTTAACTGACTTAGCCATATTATACAACAACACATGAATCCAACAAACGAGATAA